ACTGGCGTCTAATTAATATCCTACAGTACATAGGACCATCCTCCACAACCAAAACTTATATGGTGAGTTTACAATGTCAATACCTCTAGTGGAATGACAAGCTGGGGTCAGCTCACGGAGGACCTCCAAGGTCAGGTACCAGAACTGGCCCATGCCTCTCCAACACCAGGCGGCCTCATACAACCAAAACAGGAGAGCAGTGACCACAACAGCAAACCTTTCCCATTGCAAATGACCTCCCGGCGTAAAAGAAATCCGTCCCGTTGCCTCAGCTATATTATTACAGTCCTAGGATGACCTTACAAGGCAATTCTCCCACCTCTGGTTCAGAACCACTCAGGGCTTATGAGAATATACGGCCCACCCAAAGAGAATGTCAGATGGCTTCTTCCTTCGTAATCCAATTAAGTAAGTAGTGCCTCTGCAGAAACTCTGCCCAGCTGAGGAATTTATTACAAATTACCTAATCTCTTGGTTCTCCCATGAAAAGGAAATAGACGAAACCATGTCTAACCCTCTTCACCCTGAGCATTTCAAAGTGCCGGAGTTGGACCAGAGCCTATTTATTAAGTTAAGCAGTATTTTCTGGAGCTGGCTGGTGAGTGTCAACGCAGTGGACCTTAACTGCCTTTTAAAATGAAAGTCTACTTTTCATGATTATCTCGAGCATCCCCTGTGCGATTCTGCTTTTCTAATGCTGGTCAAGAGGAAAAACAGGGAGTCGGTTGTGGCTTTCAGGAACCTTCAGATGCCAGCCCAAGAAAAACGCGATAATGACCAGGGTGTGCGTCCCGAGAGGAGTGCGGGCTTTGCAGCCTGCCATGCCCGTTTGGACACCAGCTTTGCTTTTCACTCTATCCACTTAGGCAAGTGACTTACTTAACCTCTCTGCACCCCAGTCCCTTTACCAAGGAAAATGAACTGCCAAATGCCTCCTAGAGCAGCTATTAGGATAATAGTGGTAAGGAAATGGGTGTGAAGTGCCTGTCCCAGAGCGCGTCCCCCGTAAATTGTAGCTGATGATGTGGGGTCATTTTCCCACCTAGACCTTCACGCAGGGATGTGGGGTAGAGCAAAAAAAAAAAAAAAAAAAAAAAAAAAAAAAAAAAAAAAAAAAAGAATTTGATATTGAGGTTTAGTTACTTTTCCTGTCAAGGACAGAAGAGAGGGGAAATTTCTTGTGAACTAGAGGCTTCTTAGCAATTCATACAGTTCAAGCCAAGTCTCTGAGTCCAGGCGGAGGCTGGCAGGTAAGCTCTTCGCCAGGTCAGAGAGAATAAGAGGGAAAATCAATTAAAAGGGCCTTTCAGGACTGAGGGGTGGCAAACGCCCAGGGTTAATCCCAATGGGAGACCTGTATTTCCATAACAGGCGAGGCCTCCCCTTTAACCCATTGGCACTGCGAGTTGGAGTTTTCTGGGGTGAAGTCCATTACGGGCAATGGGTGTGCCGGGTGTGATTAATGACCCTGGTTACGGGCCAGTTAGCAACAGAGAGCGCCATCCGTCTCACTTCAGGGAAGCATCACACGCCATTTATTGTCTGCAGCTGGGATGTGTTCCTTTGCAATTAGGTAAATGCCTTCTTTTGGAGTAGACGTGGTAATTCCTCCATCAGTGCCCCCATGCCTCTGCCCCACACCCATGAGAAAGGAAGGCAAAGCCTGGGAGAGGCCAGAGGCGGACAGAGATGGTGACCGTTGGCGCGCGCTATTACAGGACTTCAAACCCTCGTGGCTCCAGAACCTTTGTCCTTTCTCAGCTACCTCCTTTCAAAGGGACTCAACCCAGAGAGTCCATAGCAATCATGGCTTTAAAATCCCGCCCTCCCCCCCGCCAAGGGAAAGAAGGAAGGGCACTGTGTGTTAAATGAATCCTATGCTCATTTTCCGTGGTGAAAAGAAACCCTCACAAGGAACTGTTTTATTTTTTAAATTTCATTTAAAATCGATTAATTAATATATATTACTAGTTTCAGGGTTAGAGGTCAGTGATTCATGAGTCTTATATAATACCCTGTCTTCATTACATCAACTGTCCTCCTAGTGCCCGTCACCCAGCTACCCCATCCCCCCAGCCACCTCATTTTGTTTCCTATAGCTTAGTGTCTCTTACGTAGAATTTAAGAAACAAAACAGATGGACATAGAAGAAGGGAAGGAAAAGTAAAATAGGATGAAATCAGAGAGGAAGACAAATCCAACTAATTGTTTTTAAATCACAGCTGTCATGGGTATGGGTGCTTCCTCCGTGCCAGGCATCATGGTCCCCTCATAAGAACTCTGGCAGGCCCACCCCATGATCTCCGTTTTACACTCGGGGAAACTGAGGTATAGAGAGAAGTAAATTCCAACAAGCCAGGACCCACAGTCTTGCGGAGGGCTGCATGCTGGACCACTCTGCTAGACCGTAATTCTGTCTCATTTGTGGAAGAACAGGGACTGGTGCAAAAAGAGGGACAAAGGACACAGAGTTTTTCCTGAAGAGAGAGAGCCCAGCACATGCAAGGTAAAGGAGAACGTTAGTTGACTCCACACTCAGTTTACTCAGACGCCCACAGTAGCCAGCTGTCGTGCTAAGATGCCAATACAGATGGTCGTGTGGCTCTGTCCCACCCATGAGGAGGAGTGGGAATGGTGACAGCTACTGGTGATGGTTCATTATATACTTCGTGCTCTACTGAGTGTTTTATGTGCAGAGTCTCATTTTATCTACACTGTAATGGAGACCAAAGAGGGCGTTATAATTACCCAAATTTTACAAATGATGGAAGAGAAAATTTAAACAACTGGCCAGTTCCACCTGCCAGTTGGTAGCAGACCTATCCTTGATCCACACCCTCTGACTCAAGCAGGTACTTTCAGAAACCAAACAAGGGATGGCAAATGTGCCGAGACTTCCTGAGAGCATGGTGGGGAGTGACCAGGGGAAGGACGTTGATTCAGGAGGAAGTAGGCTAGCCTGGGCTACGAGGAGGAGCTGGAATGCCTGAGGAAGCACGGGAAGATGGGGACTGAGGAGAGGAGGAGAGAGGGGAGAGCCAGTCCCTCCCTGAGAACCTTGAAGAGCACATGTTTTAGGCGCATAGAGGCCAGTGTCACCAGAAGCGCTGGCACCAAGGGGAGTGGTGTGATACGAGGCTGGGAATGACCCAGTAGGCTGTGCAAAAACTTTTAGAAGTCATAATTTAGAAGTCATAAATGAGTTCACACTTTTGAATTTGATCCCATAGACCTTATGCAAAGCAGGGAGTGGGTGTTAGCTCGTTATTCACTAAAAACCTGTGGTCCTCCTTCCTTCCGTAATGTGGGCTTGTCCCTGGGGCAGCCGTCTAAACAGGGCTGCCATTTTTGGCCCACCTCCTTGCTTTCAATATGTGGGCACATGATTACTTCTTGTCAGGGAATGTGAGTGGAAGGAATGTGTATCATTCCTGTGCTGGAGTCTCAAAGAGGCAGACATGTCTTGTCTGGGCTCTTTTTATGTTTCCACTCCCTAGAAGGAGAGGACTCTGAGCCCCTCAGTGATGGCAGAGCCACAGAGTAGAAGCAGCCTGGGTCCCCAACTCACCATGTGGCACACAACTCCACATGGATAGGATTTCTTTAAAAATGAGAACTAAACCTCTATGGAGTTAACGCACTGAAATGTTGAATTTTGTTGCAGTAGCTAGCAGTAGGATATCTAATTATGAGAACTTGATTTGTATTTTAAAAAGGTTACTGTGGCACAGTGTAAAGAATGGAGAAGATGGGATGCCTGGGTGTCTCAGTGGGCTAAGCATCTCCCTTCAGTTCAGGTCATGATCTCAGGGTTCAGGGATCAATCCCCACGTTGGGTTCCTTGCTCCGCAGGGAGCCTACTTCTCCCTCTGCCTGCCACTCTGCCTGTTTATGCTCCCGTGCCCTCACATGTTCTGTCTGTCTCTGGCAAATGAATAGATAAAATCTTAAAAAGAAAATGGAGAAGAGCTGAAGACGTTTCAGGAAGACCCTTGGTCCAAGTGAGAAGGGATGGTAGCTTAGACCATCCCTAAGATTCCAGCAGCCATGTGCTCCACTGCGAGACTTCCTTAAATCCCTCACTCTGTGGCGTATTCAACAGAGGGAGTGGTCTCAAGTGCTTCGCCAGCAACTCCATGTCTGAGACCGGGGATCAGCAGTGGGTGACGGCCCCTGTCTTCAGTGTCCAGCAGTTCCCTATGACATTCATCGCCAGCACTGTGGAATATATAGGCTCCTACACCCTCCAAGTTAGAACACCTTAGAATTATGGCTCAGATAACTGGACTGGACCACAGGGCCATCCTGGTGTATGGTCACGTACTTCTACCAAGATTTTTAAAAACAGTTTTATTGAGGCATAATTGATGTGTAATAGATATACATATTTACATGAGATTCGACATGTGAATATACCTGTGAAATCATCACTATAATTAAGATCATAAACATTTTCATCAAACCCCAAGCTTTTCTTATGCACCTTCATAATCTGACCCTCCTCACTATATCCCCCCACCCCACACACAACTCCCATCCCCAGGCAACCCCAGATTTGCTTTCTGACATCCTAGTAATTTTACATTTCCTAGAATTTTATGTAAGTCTTACAGTATAAAACCTTTGGATTCTTACTCTCACCATAGTTAGTTTAAAATTCATGCTGTCAAAAGTACCAGTAATTTGTTCCTTTTATTACTGATTAGTATTCCATCATATAAATGTACCAAAGTTATTATATCTGTTCACCTCTTAGACAATTGGGCCATCTCCAGTGCTTGGCTGTAACAAAGTTGCTATGAACATCTGTCGATAAGTCTTTGTGTAGACATGTGTCTTCATTTTCTTTGGGTAAAATACCTAGAAGTGGGGTTGCTGGGTTGTATGATAGATGTATGTTTAGCATTGAAGGAAATTGTCCAATTCTTTTTCAAAGTGATTGTACCATTTCATACTCCTACCAGCCGTGCATAGGAGTCCCAGTTGTTAACTCTCTTCTTACCAACAAATGGTATGGTTATCTGTTTAGTTTTGGTCATTCGAGTGGGTGAGAGTGGTATCTTACCATGCTTTTTAACTTGCAACTCCTTAATAATGATGTTCAGCATTTTTTCATGTATTTGTCATCTTTATCTTTTCTTTGCTGGAATACCTATTTTGTATGAGATTCTCTTACTTTTTAGTTGTAACAATGTCTTTATTCCACATGCAAGTTCTTTTTTCAAATGATCTTTTTATAAATATTTTCTTTCAGTTTGTAACTTGCCTTTTCAATTTCCTTTCCGAGTTCCCTGAGAGGTACAGTATTGTTGCATTCCCTTCCATATTCCTAAAAACAAGATCAGCACTCTTAGATGTTGAAAGTGTTCAATAAATTTCAGTTCAGTGAATGAGACAAGATCTAAGTATTTCAAGCCAAGCACATGAAAGGTGACTGCATCCTCAATCTGCCAGTCTTTAAATACTATTACCTAATTCAGGGGATTACTGTCAGAATTCACTGGGTGAATTTGAATTGACTTTTTAGACCGATGCTAGGCATGGAGTAAGAGTTCAATTAGTATTAGCATTCTTTTATTCTGTGATACTAGGGAGAAGTGGGGCCAAGGGTTGAAACCATAGAGAAGAAGATTGGCTCAATTTAGTGAATTATTTCTGTTTAATAGATTATTGGCTGTTTAATAAATGGAATGAAATAGTCTGCTACATAGGCTGATGAACTCCTCATCACTGGAAGCATTTAAATAGAGAATAACCATTTGATCAAGTTCCAAAAGAGATGTTTGCTACCTCAAGGAAAAGTACTGGACTTCTTGCATCTCTTCTTTTCCTAAAAAAGAGTTTGGTTCCTGGCAGGAGATGATAATAACAATAATATGCTATTATATATAGTTTATAGGGGCACCTGAGTGGCTCAGTCGGTTGAGTGTCTGCTTTCAGCTCAGGTCATGATCCCAGGGTCCTGGGATCGAGCCCTGCATCAGACTCCCTGCTACGCTGGGAGTCTGCTTCTCCCTCTCCTGCTCCCTCTGTGTACTTTCTCTTTCTCTCTCAAATGAACAAATCTTTAAAAAAATATATTAAAAAATCTAGTTTATAGTATATATAGCACATTATAATACATGATATATAATGTATGATATATAATACATTCTATATGCTATATTATGTATATAATAATAAGTCATTGTAGAGGATGTGGTTTTGGGCTAAGCACTGAATCATATATTATTTAACCACCACAACCATCACCTGAGGTAAGAGTAGATATTAGCTCTATTTGATAGGTGAGAAAAATGTACTCAGAGGGGGTAGATAACTTACCCAGTAACCTGGGACTTGGGGACGCAGGGCGGTGAACCAAGTGTATTTGAGTTAAATCCATGCTTACAATCCAGGTATTGTGAGGTATAGAGTTCCCCTCTCCTTGGTCATTGCCAAGGGACAAGTGCTGCTAAATCAGTTCCCCAACACCTTATGTGTCCCCCACTGCCCCATTCCCACCACCAGTGTCTGAGCCAGCAGTAATAAGTACTTAGGTTTGGTCTGAAGCTGCAGCATTCCTCTTTTGTTGCTCAGCTGGTCACCCCACAAAGTGGCCAAAGACCAGGGCAGTCATGCCTGAAGTCAGCCACCTGACTTGCTCTCACCCAGGACTATCAGTTGCATCTCAGCTTCCCATGGAAAGACATTCACATCTCCAACTGGAACAGGCATTTCCCATGCTTTTCCTTCTGGCATATGGAGTATTTATTTGTTTTGGAAGTCCTCAGAAGTGCCAGCTTTCTCATCACACAACAGTAGGGAATGTCCCCATTTGGTGCCTGTCCATCCAGCACAGAATATTTACGGTGTTGTTGCAAAGCTGTTGGACCCTTGGATTCTAATCATCTAAAGATGCTTCTGTGGCTTTTAAAAACCAGGCCCAATCTTCTGACAACAAGTGCCTGCCTCACTGCCATCCTGATTACCAGTTCCTACTGGCAAGACAACCATGATGATGTTCACCAGATTGTGCCAAACAAACGTTACCTAGCAACAAGTGGGGAGCACTTGAGATGTGTCCTTGTGTTCTAAACACTGTGAGCAATTCTTTAACTGATAATTTGATATGATGGAGAATGAATGCTCATTATGAGGAAACCTTAAAAGAATGCATTTGGAGCCAGACACACCCTTGTGCCACTCTGACTCTGCATGACTCCTATGACATTGGTCAAGTTATGTAAACTCTCAAAACCTCAGTTTCTAACCTAGAAAATGGAGAAAAAAACAGTACTACTTCATGCTAATTCTGTCAATGCCCTGTATGAACATAATTAATGAAAAGAAAGTGTATGAGATAATATTCTATGTTAAGTAGGTATTCAAATGCTAGTTTGCTTCAACACACATTTTCTATGCTATCTTTCATAAAAACACAAATCCAGGCATCTGATGGACCAAGATCTAGTTATCCCTACCCTACATTGGAAGATAGCTATGTCCTTAAGAAGTCTCTTAACTTCTCTTTGATTGGTTTTCTTCATCTGACAGTAATAAGTGGGATGATAATAATAATATGGGGACAATAATAAACGTTTCTGAAGTTAGGGATATGAAAAAAATCTGAAGACCCAAATATAAATGCAAGAAGTGACCTAAATATATAACTGGTATTATTATAGTTGAGAGGAAGTTAGAAGCACTGGCAGGCTAACTAGAGACCTTTGTTTCATAGTAGGTTCTATCTTCATCCATACCAGTATATGATCCTGGTACTCATATTGGTGAAACAAATTTTGGAAATCACATTGAAATCCATCTACCAAACCCATCCCCTTATTTTTTTTTCACTTTAATGTCTAAGTCAGTTTTAGGGAATGTATTCCATATCTAATACCAAGACAGACCTTTGCCAGAGCAGATAAAAGGCTTCCAGATGATGAAGTTATACCAGTTAGGTTGGAAAAACCTGCTGGTTTCTCCAATACAATTGGGCAGAATGATGCAAAAGATGGATGTGAATTCTATAGCATCATGCAAAATTCTCAGATTTTTGGAGCAAAGTAGACATGGGTTCACATCCTCCTGGTCTACCACTTTCTAGCTCTGAAGACTTAGATAAATCACCCAAATAGCTCTCAGTTTTCTCATTTGTATGATGGGTATAATAAAAATTATCTTGCAGGGTTGTTGAAAAGATGAGGAGCATGAATTTAAAGTGCCTTTTAAGGTGCCTGGCACATGGTATATCCTCAATATGTGATGTATGTTGAAAACAGCATTAATACTAGCAGTAATAAATAGAATTGGAGAGGAAAGCAGAGCCCAAGCAAAGGAATGGTTCCAAACGCTTAGTCTGAGTGGCAAATATGAACCGTTAATAGTAAGTAAATGTGAGGGGTCAAGACGCAGGAGATGAGAAATAAGTAAGCAGATAGATGGATGAAGACATAATTTGGAGTCCGTGTTAGGAAATAGGTCTGAGTTTTGGAGCTCCCAGCTAAAAAGACAGACATCTCGGCCACTTAGGGAAGCTTTGTCCTCGTGCTTTTGCCTTTACAGGCCATCATTTTCTCCTTCAGGACTCAAATGACAACCCCCTGCAGAAATGCCTGATGGAAAATAGGTTGTTAGCAAGAGGGGAGGCTAGATGCTCGGGGCACAGGGTTTTGACCAATGACAAGTGTGCATTCTGCACTTGGAAACACGGCTCTTGAATGTCAGGGCATGGGATTTCCCTTAAGAGTTGCCCATGTGACTAAGTGCCCCTCAGGTTAGTGGAGTGAACAGTTTCCCCAACTTCAGTTTCTTCTTAATCAGGTGTCTCAGCACATCTAAGATGCCTTTTGGCCATTGTCTCCCTGACTTCTTACTTCGGGGAGCCCAATTTGAAGGAGTTGTTGGAAGCAAAGAGAGCGAGCTTGAAATGAATTCTATCTGTCAGTCAATCCTACATATCCCAGATTCCTGGCTTGGGCCAGATACCACTGCCAGCCTGTGAGAAGCATCTGTCCTGGCAGAGGTTGTGGTCAACATCTAGGAGGTGGAGATGTGTGTGAACAAATAACATCAAAGATCATGGCTTTCTTCTATTAAATCTGAATATTCATTATTATCTATCCACATAACACAGCTGAGCAGTGTTTGGAAATCACTGAGCAACCTGAGAGCAATATAGCATATAGGTGTCTCACTTTGCAATAGCTGGTCTAAGAAAATTGGCACAGAGTTCATCAGTGCATACAGTTGTCTTTTCAGCTGCTGAATCAGGTAGGGTGTTGAATCCACGATCATATTAGAAATTCTTTAACCTGGACACCCGGGTGGCTCAGTGGGTTAAGAGTCTGTGTTTGGCTCAGGTCATGATCCCAGAGTCCCAGCTCAGAAGGGAGTTGCTTCTCCCTCTGCCTCTCCCCCGACTTGTGCTCTCTCACTCACTCTCTCTAAAAAAATAAAATAAATAAAATCTTAACAAAAAATTATTTAAGTTACCAGGAAACCTAGGGGATGATATTAAACATGTTGAGCCATAATTTCCCAATATTTTATTTTTATTTTATTTCTTTTCAGTGTTCCAAAATTCATTGTTTATGCCCACACCCAGTGCTCCATGCAATCCGTGCCCTCCTTAATACCCACCACCAGGCTCACCCAACCCCCCACCCCACTCTTCTCCCAAACCCTCAGTTTATTTCTGAGTCCACAGTCTTTCATGGTTTGTCTCCCCCTCTGATTTCCCCCAACTATAGGGAAATAAACAATTCCTAAGACTCCCTTAGATTCTAAAAAAAAAAAATAAAAAAATAAAAATATTTCCAGGTTAAATACTTGTCAGCCAGACTGGAACGGATGGGCCAGTGATCGATCTGGACACTTGCAGTGAAGTGACCCAGGTTGAATTCCCTAGTAATGCGGTAGGTTTCATGTGTTCTGCTTAGAATTGAAAAGGATCATGGTTAAGAATTAATAGACCTAGATTCTTGATCTTATTCTGTCAGTCATTAGCTGTGGTCCCTAGGTAAGTCCCATCCCCCTGTCTTGGGTACAGTTTCCCCATTGGTAAAATAAGAACCTTGGAACAGAGAACTTTGAAGGTCTTTTCCTGTATGAACACCTGTGACTCCATATTGACGAAATTGTAATAATTTTTAAATGCTTCTATCTTGAGTAGGGATTTTTATCAGATCTTACACATTTCTATAAATCCCAAGTCCAAGTAAGTGGTAGATAGGTGAATGGATAACTCCCACCTACATCCATGTCATATTTTCCACTTGCTCCGGCTTTCCAGCTCTATGACCATTGACAATGTGCTTAATTTTTTTTTTTTTACCAGATTCATCATCTACAAAGTAGAGATAATAATAATGCCTAACTCATAGAGTTATTATAAGGATTAAATGAGTTGTTACATGTAAAGTGCTTATAACAGTGCCTGGCACACAGGAAGTCCCATTGAATTGTTAGCCGCCATCATCATCATCATCACTTACTCTTTATGCCTCATGTATCCCTACTGTCTCCGAAGTCCTCTGATGCCAATGTCATTTAGTTATTCACAAGTAACTTCCTTGGGACTCCTTGCAACAGGATGGTCAGTGTTTCACTCGTGATGGTTAATCCTCTTTGGCCATATTAAAAATCAAACCTAATATTTTTTACCAGCACTTTTGGAAGTGAGTTTTTCCTTGTCTAATAATTCCCATCTGTGTTTTTCTTCTTCAATGATTTCAAAGTGCAGTGTCGTAGAGTTGCTTTACTTCCAAGTTTCTCATGTCTTTTGCACTTTTACCAACTACCTCCTTTGGCTTGGACAAGGCCCTTGATAGCTTTTTTAAAGTTCTGGGAGAGAGCTCGAGTGATTTCAATGAACACTTTTTAAGATGCCTGGGTTTCTGCCGGTGGAGCTACCATCAAATATCAGCAAAGGTCAGAATCTCTGCAGCAGTCTTCATTCAGTTGGCACAAGTGCATTTATCGAGCATCTTCTGTATGAGAGACTTTATTCTAGGTGCTGATTATTAGCTTCATATCCTCCCTACCCTGTATCATCTACTGTCCCTCACAGGTCCAGGCATTTGTTGAATACATCCCCATTGAGACCCTTCTGTTAGAGGTACAATAATCACATTTTATAGATGTCGATAATAAACTTTTTATATGCTCAGCAACTACTTTTATTGGCAGGACTAGAAGCTAGAAATAAAAAGCTGTGTACACCATGCTTGTTGCCACTGAGTGTTCCTTCATCCCGTGGGGTAGGAGCAGATGTGTGAACATGGCAGGTGTTCTGAGGTACGATGTGCTTCTGGAGAAACAATTTTAGTGGCTGAAAAGGAGCATCCCACTTCTGTGAGATCACAATGTCATTCACCTCCTCAGATCCTTGTGAGACAACCCTCCAGACCTTTCTCTAGTTACACATCCTCTCTAGGGGACCTCATCTGGTCCCACAACTGTGGATCCCGACCTCTGGGGGGGATTCCTAGACCAGCTAGACCAGCCCCAGCTTAGGACTTATTCTCCGTAGTCACTCTCTGTGCTTCCCTTTCCTTCATACCACATGTGCATCTGATGTAAATCCTGCTGACTCCCCTTTCAAAATGTATCCCGGTTCTTCCCACTTCACTTACTCCCCCCCCCCACACACACACCTCAAGAGACTACTGCCCTAGGTCCCTCGGTTTCAATTCATCCTGCCCATCCATAGCCCATTCTCAACACAGCACTCAGAGTGACCATTTCAAGACAAGTCTGATCACATCACTCCCTTGCTCAATTCCTGTGTGGCCTCCATATTATACTTAGAAGAGAGCCCAATGGGCTATAAGAGCCCAAGATAGCCCATGTGATCTGGCCCCCACGTATAGCTTTTCCTGTGTTCACCCTGAGCCTCCGACTTCTCTAATCTTCCTCAGACATACATCCTTAGGTGTGAAGATCTTTTCTCTTTCCCCTCACTCTCCTTCTGGGTATTTGCATGGCTCTCCCTCACTGTCTCTGCATACTTGTCACTTTCTCAGTGA